CGTATCACAAACCTACTAAGCGACATAGCATGGATGTCACATCACTACCTTAAACTCAATCATTCAAAAACTGAGCTTGTAATATTTCCTCCTCCCCGATCCCCCACTCATGACTTTACCATTAAGATCAACAGCACAACCATTGGTCCTTCCCCTCATGCCAGGGTATTAGGCGTAATCCTAGACTCTGACCTCTCCTTTGGGCCCCACATCCACTCACTGGTTAAATCCTGCCGCCTCAACCTCCGGAACATTTACAAAATCCGCCCCTTCCTGACCAATGACACCACAAAACAACTTATCCATGCCTTGGTTATATCCCGCCTCGATTACTGCAACTCCCTCCTCACTGGTCTACCGTTACACAGGCTAGCCCCCTTCAGTCTATTATGAATGCTGCTGCTAGACTCATACACCTTACCAACCGATCAATGACTGCTGCCCCTCTCTGCCAATCCCTCCACTGGCTTCCACTAACCCAACGTATAAAATTCAAAATACTAACCACAGCTTACAAAGCCATCCACAACACTGCCCCTAGCTACATCGCCAACCTCATCCACAGATACCGCCTAAATCGCCCACTCCACTCCTCCCATGATATCCTCTTCTCTAGCTCCCTCATCACCTCCTCCCACGCTCACCTCCAGGACTTCTCCAGAGCCTCTCCCATCCTCTGGAACTCCCTACCACAGCATGTCCGGTCATCCCCCACCCTGTCTGCCTTTAGGCGATCTTTGAAAACTCATTTCTTCATGGAAGCCTACCCCACCTCCACCTAAGAACTGTACTTGAATCACCTCTGCCAGATCATCCCCCGCAGTTATCATCTTTTGTATCACCTTCCCCTTCCTTTAGATTCAAATGTATTGTAATTGCACTGTCTCCCTTATATTGTAAAGCGCTCCGGAAACTGCTGGCGCTATATAAATCCTGTATAATAATAATAATACCACTAATGACACCTTCCCGCCAGTCATACCACTAATGACATCTTCTCGCCGCTCATACCACTAACTGACATCTTCTCGCCACTTATGCCACTAATGACACCTTCTCGTCGCTCATGCCACTAATGACACTTTCTCGCCGCTCATGCCACCAACAACACCTTCACAGAAAGATGTAGCCAACCAATAAGTTCCACCCAGTAAACGTTGGTGCACTAGAGACAGTGGGGGTGCACTGGGGGGCAGCGATTTGTGTGTTGCCTAGGGCAGCACAAAACATAAATACACCACTGGATGTCATGGGCATGCATGGCTTCTAGTGGCACTGGGTCATTGGTGTTTATTGATGATGTGACAGAATACAGCAGCAGCCGGATGAATTCTGCAGTGTTTAGAGATATACTGCCAGCCCAGATTCAGCCAAATGCAGCAAAATTGATCGGACAGCGCTTCACAGTACAGATAGACAATGATCCAAAACACACTGCAAAAGCAACCCAGGAGTTTTTTAAGGAAAAGAAATGGAATATTCTGCAATGGCTGAGTCAATCACCTGATCTCTAACCAATTGAGCATGCATTTCACTAGCTGAAGGCAAAACTAAAGGCAGAAAGACCCACAAACAAAGAACAACTGAAGACAGCTGCAGTTAGAGGCTGGCAAAGCATCAGAAAGGAGGAAACCCAGTCTTTGGTAATGTCCATGGCTTCCAGACTTCAGGCAGTCATTGCCAGTGAAGGATTCTCAACAAAATATTAAAAATTAACATTTTATTTATGATTATATTTATTTGTCCAATTACATTTGATCCCCTGAAAATGGAGGGACTGTGTATAAAAATGGTTGCATTTCCTAAAAATTGTACTTGATATTTATGTTCAACCCCTTGAATTAAATCTGAAAGTTTGCACTTCAAATTCATTTGGATTGTTGTGTTTCAATTTAGTCTGGTGGCATACAGAGCCAAAAGTATGAAAATTGTGCCTGTGTCCAAATATATACGGACCTAATTGTATATATATATATGAGACAAATTATCCTCTGCAGGTAAATATGTAGGTAAATAAGAGAACCAGTACCCTCCCTAAGTGGAAGAGTGGGCTTGAGAATAAAGTTTGCAGTGCCGCCACCCAGGACAAGGCCTCTGTGAACAAAGGGGATTCACTTCTAGGGAAATTAACCGGTAATCTAAGTGAAGTAATTGGGAGCAGAGGAACTACTACACCCAACATATAACATTAACCATAAGCATATAGATGCACACCCAGTATGGAAATAATTTTATATATGAAAAAATTTATAATAGTACATGTATCCAATATATAAACAGGTTTTATCAGCAAAGCGCTTGATAGGAGTCTTGGTGGAAGTGGCTGTTGAATGCCTAACCTGGCTCCAGCCTATGCTGGTTAATGAACCCTGTGGTAAGGACTGTCACAAGTCTGTCACAAAGATAGAGATACACACTAAAAAGCTGTGGGCAGCTGCAGTTAAACTATTAGAATACTTGCCTAATGGTCCCTGCTGCAAAATTGACTGCAAAGCTCAATCTCAGTCTTCCAAAGCCAATGTCCACAAAAACTGTGCTGAGGGCATAAGCAAAACATTAATGGGCGAGCTGCAATTGCCAAACCACTAGTGACCGATATTAATGCTCAGAAGAGGTGCTGCACCACTATTGATCATTGGTAAGTCTGTAATATGGTCCGATGAATTGAGCTTCACACTATTCCTAACCACTGGATGTGTTTACGTGTGGTGAACACCATCCTGTCAGGAATGGACTGGCCAGCAATAGTGGGGGCTCAGCTGCCTTATGAGCTGCAGTACCAGGGCTGGCCAGCGGGTGCTCCCAGCAATCAGAGACTCAACCTTGCAGCCAGTCAAACACCTGGAACTAATTATACTGGTGTATTTAAGGGACAATCAGACCTGCAGACTCTGCCTTGGTGTTGTGTTTCTCTTGGGCCCTGTATCCTGTTCCTGCTTTCTGTTCCTGTCTGATTCTCTGCTGACCCTGCTCTGATCCCTGGCTTGTCTGACCATTCTCCTCTGCCTGACCCTCTGTACCACGCTGCCCGCTACCTGCTGAACCTGGCCTGTGACCCCGACCATTCTCCGCTTGCTCCCCCTGTACCTACCTGCCCGACTGATATTAACCCGGCCTGCCTGACGACGCTTGCATTGTATGTACTGTTATCTGTGGGTGGTTGGTTTGGTTTGTTTGCACTGTATTATGTTTAGTATTGCACTGCGTTTATGTTTGTATGGTTAGTGTTAATAAATTATATTGTTTATAACATATCTGAAGTCTGCGTTTCCCTGCGTCAGTCACACACCTCTGGTCATACCCGGGAGCCCTGACATTACACCAAGGCCAATCCTGACCAGAAGTGGCTGCACAGGGAAGCCATCTTGGCTTGTTGATGGGAAGGATGGATCTGGATGAGGTTGTGTATTTATATCTGCTAGTGTTTGATGACAGAGAATATGCTTATCAAACTCTGAAGGAGTATACCCGGGATGAACTGCTAGAATGTATACGGCTCGCTCATGTTCTAGTAGATCAGGGCACAGAGTTCTCTGAGGTGCAGCCATTGATTCAGTTTGTGCTGAGTTGGTTTCATCTGGTACCCCCGAATGCAGGGATGAATTTTTGCCACCATTTAGTGCAGACCAGGTAGAGTCCCTGGTATGGTTATTAGAGGATGATGTGGGTTACTTTCTGGAGCGTTATTCTGCATGTTCACCACAGACACTAAGAGATTGTATAAACGCAGTGCAGTCTTTGGTCAGACAGGCTTTGTGTAAGCTCAGCTTTGTTCAACCCATACTGCAGACATGGACAGACTTGTTGCACACCCAGCCTCAGTCAGCTTACAAAACCCAGTCCTGCTTCTAATCTATCTCCTCAAAGCTCTATTCCTGCATTCCCAACAGCTCCTCCTGCCCTGCTATCTACCGCATGTCAGTACCCTGTTCCCACTCGCTGCACCTATCCTGCCTTTAACCCTGTAAAAAAAGCCCTCTGTAGCAACTGCTCCCTCCTGTTCCATCCTCCAGCTCTTCTCTGTCTCCAGCTGCTCCATTCATTTGCAGACCTGCGTTTACTTGCAGTGCTCCCAGTAGTTAAAACCAGAAAAAAGCGAAAATTCTTTCCAACCAGTACCATCCTGCCAGTATCCAAACCGGTGAGCCTGCCGTCTGAGAACCTGCCTTCCGTGGTTCAGCCTGATGCCTCTCTTCAGCCTGATGCCTCTACTCAGCCTGATGCCTGTACTCAGCCTGAAGCCTCTACTCAGCCTGATGCCTGTACTCAGCCTGAAGCCTCTACTCAGCCTGATGCCTCTACTCAGCCTGAAGCCTCTACGCATCCTGAAGCCTCTACTCAGCCTGAAGCCTCCACTCAGCCTGATGCCTCTACTCAGCCTGAAGCCTCTACTCAGCCTGAAGCCTCTACTCAGCCTGAAGCCTCTACTCAGCCTGAAGCCTCTACTCAGCCGGATGCCTCTACTCAGCCGGATGCTTCTACCCAGCATAATGAACTGATCCAGCCTGATGATCCTATTAGGCCAGTTGACTCGATGCCGCTGTTGATCCAGATGATCCGGTACCTGATCCGGTGCCCGCTGTCGTGCCAATTGACTCGGAGCCCGCTGTCGTACCTGGTGACTCGGTGCCCACTGCCTTGCCAGATGATGCGGTGCCCGCTGGCAAGCCAAATGACCTGATGCCTGGTGACCCAGTGCCCGCTGTCATACCTGGTGACCCGATGCCCGCTGTCGAGCCAGACGATCCAATGCCTGGTGACCCGGTGCCCACTGCCTTGCCAGATGACGCGGTGCCCGCTGGCAAGCCAAATGACCTGATGCCTGGTGACCCAGTGCCCGCTGTCATACCTGGTGACCCGATGCCCGCTGTCGAGCCAGACAATCCGGTACCTGATGACCCGGTGCCCACTGTCGTGCCTGCTGACTCGGAGCCCACTGCCTTGCCAGATGACGCGGTGCCCGCTGTCGAGCCAAATGACCTGATGCCTGGTGACCCAATGCCCGCTGTCCAGCCAGACGATTCAATGTCTGCCCCAGTGCCCGCGGTCATGCCAGTTGACTCGGAGCCCACTGCCTTGCCAGATGACGCGGTGCTCGCCGTCGAGCCAAATGACTTGATGCCTGGTGACCCGATGCCCGCTGTCCAGTCAGACGATCCAATGTCTGACCCAGTGCCCGCGGTCATACCAGTTGACTCGGAGCCCACTGCCTTGCCAGATGACGCGGTGCCCGCTGTCGAGCCAAATGACCTGATGCCTGGTGACCCGATGCCCGCTGTCCAGCCAGACGATCCAATGTCTGACCCAGTGCCAGCGGTCATGCCAGTTGACTCGGAGCCCACTGTCGTGCCTGGTGACTCGGTGCCCGCCGCTTCGCCTGGGGGCCCGAGACCTGTCGCTCCGCCTGGGGGTCCGGCGCCCGCCGCTCCGCCTGGGGGTCCGGCGCCCGCCCCGCCCCCGCCTGGGGGCCCGAGACCTGTCGCTCTGCCTGAGGGCCCGAGACCTGTCGCTCCACCTGGGGGTCCGGCACCCGCCGCTCCGCCTGAGGGCCCGAGGCCTGTCGCTCTGCCTGGGGGTCCGGCGCCCGCCGCTCCGCCTGAGGGCCGAGACCTGTCGCTCCGCCTGGGGGTCCGGCGCCCGCCGCTCCGCCTGAGGGCCCGAGACCTGTCGCTCCGCCTGGGGGCCCGAGACCTGTCGCTCCGCCTGGGGGGCCCGGCCCCGCTGCCCCGCCTGGGGGCCTGAGACCTGTCGCTCAGCCTGAGGGCCCAAGACCTGTCGCTCCACCTGGGGGTCCGGCGCCCGCCGCTCCGCCTGAGGGCCCGAGACCTGTCGCTCCGCCTGGGGGTCCGGCGCCCGCCCTGCTCCGCCTGGGGGCCCGAGACCTGTCGCTCCACCTGGGGGCCCGAGACCTGTCGCTCCGCCTGAGGGCCCGGCGCGCGCTGCTCCGCCTGAGGGCCCGAGACCTGTCGCTCACCTGGGGGTCCAGCGCCCGCCGCTCCGCCTGAGGGCCCGAGACCTGTCGCTCCACCTGGGGGTCCGGCGCCCGCCGCTCCGCCTGAGGGCCCGAGACCTGTCGCTCCGCCTGGGGGTCCGGCACCTGCCGCTCTGCCTGGGGGCCCGATGCCTGTCGCCCCGCCTGGGGGCCCGATGCCTGTCGCCCCGCCTGGGGGCCCGATGCCTGTTGCCCCCCGCCTGGGGGCCCAATGCCTGTTTCCCCGCCTGGGGGCCCGATGCCTGTTGCCCCGCCTGGGGGCCCAAGGCCTGTCGCCCCTCCTGGGGGCCCGGCGCCCGCCGCTCCACCTGGGGGCCCGACGCCTGTCGCCCCGCCTGGGGCCCGACGCCTGTCGCCCCGCCTGGGGGCCCGACGCCTGTCGCCCCTCCTGGGGGCCCGGCCCCGCCGCTCCGCCTGGGGGCCCGATGCTGGTCGCCCCCCTGGGGGCCCGATGCCGGTCCCCCGCCTGGGGTCGCCCGCCTGGGGACCCGATGCCGGTCGCCCCGCCCGGGGGCCCGGTGCCTGTCGCCCCGCCCGGGGGCCCGGTGCCTGCTGCTGCCTGCCCGGGGGCCCGGTGCCTGCTGCTCCGCCCCGGGGGGGCCCGGTGCCTGCTGCTCCGCCCGGGGGCCCGGTGCCTGCTGCTCCGCCTGGGGGCCCGCTGCCTGCTGCTCCGCCCGGGGGCCCGGTGCCTGCTTCCCCGCCCGGGGGCCCCGGTGCCTGCTGCCTCTCCGCCTGGTGGCCCGCTGCCTGCTGCTTCGCCTGGTAATCCGATGTGCCTCTGCCCAGAGTCCGGCCCGATGTGCCTCTGCCCAGAGCCCTGCCCGATGTGCCTCTGCCCGGAGTCCAGCCCGATGTGCCTCTGCCCGGAGTCCAGCCCGATGTGCCTCTGCCCGGAGTCCAGCCCGATGTGCCTCTGCCCGGAGTCCAGCCCGATGTGCCTCTGCCCGGAGTCCAGCCCCCGATGTGCCTCTGCCCGGAGTCCAGCCTGATGTGCCTCTGCCCGGAGTCCAGCCCGATGTGCCTCTGCCCGGAGTCCAGCCCGATGTGCCTCTGCCCGGTGTGCCGCTGCCCGATGTGCCTCTGCCCGGTGTGCCTCTGCCCGATGTGCCTCTGCCCGGAGTCCAGCTCGATGTGCCTCTGCCCGGAGTCCAGCCCGATGTGCCTCTGCCCGGTGTGCCGCCGCTGCCCAGAGTGCCTCTGCCCGGAGTCCAGCCCGATGTGCCTCTGCCCGGAGTCCAGCCCGATGTGCCTCTGCCCGGAGTCCAGCCCGATGTGCCTCTGCCCGGAGTCCAGCACGATGTGCCTCTGCCCGGTGTGCCGCTGCCCGGAGTCCTGCCCGGTGTGCCAGTCTTTGATATCCCGCCAGTTACCAGACCCGGGCGGTGGAACATTTTGCCCAGCTAGGACTGTTTGGAGCGTCCTGAGGCCGCTCCTTGAGGGGGGGGTACTGTCAGGAATGGACTGGCCAGCAATAGTGGGACTCAGTTGCCTTATGAGCTGCAGTACCAGGGCTGGCCAGCGGGTGCTCCCAGCAATCAGAGACTCAACCTTGCAGCCAGTCAAACACCTGGAACTAATTATACTGGTGTATTTAAGGGACATTCAGACCTGCAGACTCTGCCTTGGTGTTGTGTTTCTCTTGGGCCCTGTATCCTGTTCCTGCTCTCTGTTCCTGTCTGATTCTCTGCTGACCCTGCTCTGATCCCTGGCTTGTCTGACCATTCTCCTCTGCCTGACCCTCTGTACCACGCTGCCCGCTACCTGCTGAACCTGGCCTGTGACCCCGACCATTCTCCGCTTGCTCCCCCTGTACCTACCTGCCCTATTGATATTGACCCAGCCTGCCTGACGACGCTTGCATTGTATGTACTGTTATCTGTGGGTGGTTGGTTTGGTTTGTTTGCACTGTGTTATGTTTTAGTATTGCACTGCGTTTATGTTTGTATGGTTAGTGTTAATAAATTACATTGTTTATAACATATCTGAAGTCTGCGTTTCCCTGCGTCAGTCACACACCTCTGGTCATACCCGGGAGCTCTGACACATCCCAAGTTTACAACTAGAACTGTCTTGTGCCAATAGTAAAGCATTGTAGCGGCACAATCATGGTTTGGGCAGCTACGTATATCTTGGTATTCCAATGGCCTCATCACAGAATAATTAGAAGCCCCAAAGATGCAGATTAGGAGACAAAACAAAGGACACAGCGTGTCACGTACCTGATAGGAGACTGAATTGACGAGGTCGGCCTCACTTGTGTCACTAGCCCTGACCCCGCTGAGGTTGGAACAAAGGGAGTCTAGGGACCAGGGGGACAAGAGCGCCAGTAGTTGTTCCTTGCGGCTCTTGCAGATGATGACGTTGGTAGGCAGAGTGTCCTCTGATTTGGGGACCGTAGTAGCAGACAGAGCAGGTTCTGGGTAATGCCCGATGTGCAGCAGAGCAATGTAGGTAGCCAGGACACAGGATAGGAACAGGGTCATAGTATAGCCAGGGTCATCAACAGTCGTGCAGCGTGGTACAGAATCAGTAGGAAAAGCGAAAGTCAGGAGCAGAGCTGAAGTCAGGAACCAGGAGCAGGAGAGTAATCGGAGTCAGGTCAGGAACAAGCCGGGTCAGCAACAAAGGAATCGTACAGGAGCAAGCAGGACACAGGGGGGAACTGAAGACCAGTCAGCACTGAACCAGAGCAGAGACCCTCTTTAAATAGCCTGTCTGGTGCCAATCTTCGCCGTGCATGTGCACGTGTGCGTGCATGTGCGCGATCGCGCATTCCTGCGCGCATGTGCACGACCAGCAGCTCCTCTGCGGAATCTCTGTTGTGCATGCGTGTTCCCGATTGTGATTCTCTTTGCCGGAAATCCCTTACACAGTGCCTCTAAGTGTAAACTGTGACAAATTTTAAGGTAAGCTTAACAACTCACATCCAGGGGCGGACTGACCATTCAAGCACTCGGGCACTGCCCGAGGGCCTGGGGTCAGTAGGGGGCCCCATGAAATGCCCCTGGTACCTTTTAAAGGTTTTTTTTGAGTGTGGGCAAGGACACAGGGGCCCCATGATCCCCTATTGCCCGGAGGCCCCATGAGTTGTCAGTATACCCCTGCTCACATCTTGAACAGTAAAAACAGGCTCATAGGGATGTAGTGTAGTAAGTCTGTCGCCAGATGTAAAAGGCTGTTCTGGAGAGGAGTGAACTCTGGTCGGTCAGCAGGAGGCGCTGTACCAAGTAAAGCATGGATGGTGAAGCCTGTCTGGGTCTCCAATATGTCCAGAGCTAGTCAAGTTGGCCATCTGACGTCATCGGAATGCAATGTCCTTGCTCCTCCTTGCCTGATGAAAGAGCTCTCCGGCCGACGCTGGTCCAGCGCATGCTCAGAAACGCGTCAAATCCGATGATGTCAGACGCCCAATGTGACTAGCTTTGGACATATTGGAGACCCAGACAGGCTTCACCATTCATGCCTTACTTGGTGCAGTGCCTCCTGCTGACCGACCAGGGTTCACTCTTCTCTCTGGAACAGCCTTTTACATCTGGCGACAGACATACTATACTACATCCCTATGAGCCTGTTTTTACTGTTCAAGATGTGAGTTGTTAAGCTTACCTTCTTATTAAAATTTGTCACACAGTTTACACTTAGAGGTGCCGTGTCCTTTGTTTCTTCTACTGCAGAGTTTGCTTCAATCCATCGCAGCTGCTCTAGTGCATACTGGATTGCCTTTGCCCATATTGGAACTTATTCATTTATTAACATACATGGACTGCTGAATTATTTGCCTGTCATTCTCTTTATATAGATTAGACAAGCCCAAAAAAAGACATGACCCAAATAAATGTGCTGAAAGTGAAAATAAACAGAACTGTGATACAGTGAAAACAGCAGAAAGCTTGAGCTCAAAACACAAAAGGTGTTAACACCCATAGCAGAGTAATCTTATACATAGCAAAAGAATAAATAGAGATGATAGGAGAAGAATGTCCACAGACCTATGACAGGTATCTCCAAAAGGGAGATCACTGGAGAAGGAGGAGGCTGTACCCATTTCTGCGTGGAAGGCTCCAAAGTGGACAGCATGCAGCAAGTATGTACAGTGTATGTACTGCATATGCAGTGCTCTACTAATGACAAAACCCTCCTTCCACTTATATATAGTAAAAAGTGAAAACAACCTACAAAAACATTTAGTACAACAAATATACACATTCCTGTTAACCTTAAACACTGATAGTGAGAAAACCCCATTGTCTATGAGACTCTATACCACCAAATCAGTGGTATAAAGCGCTTCCCACCTCATTGAGTAATGTCATAGTGTTGAAATTAGAAAGGCACTTACCATTAGGCTCGGTTCACACTCCCCTGATGTGATTTTGACTCAATTTGCAGTGTGATTGTGTAGTGCTACTTTGATGCAACTTTGGTTGTGTTTTTAGATGTGGTTTGCATATTCTGTGGTGCCAAACTGCTCTGTATATCGTACAAAGTAGCACGGGACCCTTTCCCAAATTCACATCGATGCTGAACTTCATTGATGTGAATGGGCTCCAATAGAAGCAAAGGTGTTTCCATTGTCATGCGATTCAGTGTGACCCAAGTTGCTTCTGAAATCACATCAGTGTGAACCAGGCCTTAAACAACCCAATTACATAAGCAAGAAAACACACTAAAAAAAACTGGTTAACCATCAGAATTCACCTTCAGCCATTTTTTCAATAGCACACTTAAAGTGCACATTGCAGAACACTGCAATGCCTGGTTATAATATCTGGGTCCCAGATCTTGTAAAAATCACCAGTTCATAGTATTTGCAAAATGTACAGTATCTGTAAACAAAATGTTAGATCTAGACTTGTGGACAGGGCTTAGCCAGCATGCCCAATAACTGGTAGGAGTCGACACGGTGATGTTTGAACAACACACTTCAAAAAGGTACTTTTTCCCCACAGCAGTACAATATACTTAAGCTTAAAGACCTCTGAAGGATTGAGCAGCACTTCCTTCAGAGGAGTATTCAGATAACTGGGTTGTCCTGAGGCCTCTAAAATGCCTTGCAGATTGTCCAGGTGGCTTTTCCTTCTCATCAGAAACCTTTCCTTATGCTACTCCTACTCTCTACTTACCAAGCAGAGGTCTGTCCCTAACTTACTGTGCTTATACTCAGGGCATGCCAGAATAATGCAGAGAGCACTATTGTAACCCTTCTGTTTCAAAG